TTACTACTAGCGTGGCACTTGTTACTACTAGCGTGGCACTTGTTACTACTAGCGTCTTGTTACTACTAGGAACAATCGTTAGGTCGATCTTTTAGGACCGTTTTTCTAATGGGCTCTTCTTTCGCAAACTCCTTTCGCAACACTTTCGCGGCTTGCGCTTTGGCTTTCGCGCGCTGCGTTCTGTGCAAAAACACTTTCACAAGCTTTCGCAGACGGAACTGATTTTGCAAGCTTTTGCATACTTTCCGGAGCTTTCGCAAGCTTTCGCAAATGAAAAGCTCGCACAATCTTTCGCGACTGCATGTTTTGCTTTCACGAAGGCATAATACATTAACCTCTCTTCGAATTGTCACTTGGGAAGTTTTGGCCACTGCTCCCTTGAAGTTACACTCCCGCATCAACCTTCACCTGCTTCCTTGTTGAAATAGGAAAGCCTTGCGAAGTCTTGTCTAAGATAAACCAAGCAAACTGTTTTGTCGCTGTTTGACCACGGCCTTGCGTTTCCAAGGCTTGGACCAATGTCCTGGTCCAGCCCCGGGTCGTTCCTCGGCGCTCCATGATGCTTCTTTTATGTCTGAACTCTTCCGATGGAGTGGGCCAGAATGAACAAACAATTCACGAACATGGTCATGATACTGCGTGTGTATGTACTCGAGCTTATCCAAAATACTTGCTACCACACACGCACGCACCTGTCAGAACCTGTTGAAACGACCCCTGGTGCTAAAAAAGCAACAGAAACCAGGTCGTCTTGCTGCTACATCGACTCTCAACTGCCTAAATTCAAATCCCACCCCGACTTGGCCGCAACACCTTCAACCCAGGCGTTGCTTCGAATTCACTATCTCCTGGCCTTGCGACAAACGCTTTGAGCCACGCTCGAGCTGGCACTCTAAGTGTTGGAACCTAATGGCGATGGCCTCCAACCGAAATAGCAAACTATATATTATAGACCTTTCTTCCTTTTACTTGTTTCTTTGTTTCTATTAGCGATGGCCTCCAACCTACTAGCGATGGCCTCGCATGGTGACATGGCACTGAAGTTCACTTTGCCCCGCCTTGGCGCTGGCCGGGGCGCATTGTCATCTTCGCCGGTCACGGCGCGAGCACCACCTGCTTCCGCGCCAGCTCCGACCTTTGGCACCACGACCGGAAGCTCCACGACCTGCTTCGGTGCCAGCTGGTCCTCGAAGGGCAACAAGTACGACAAATACTGAAGTGAACGGAACACCAGTGGTTTGGTGCATTTGATGGTGAAACTGAGAGAGAGGAGAATCTGATTCGAGGCCACAACAAAACAGATCGTGGCCCGGTCAGTCAAGGATACCCCAGAACGTACTTTTGCTCTTAACCACAGAGAGTCACTGGGCACGCCTTGGGTGAGAGGTGCACGCCTTTTTCAGTTCTTGTATACATCCTTAGCTCAAATTCTAGGGCATTTGCTGGGTCAAATTGTACAGAAGGACCCAGCAAATGCCACAGCGGAAGGCTTCTTACGGCTTCTTATCTGAGAACCAATTCTGACGTGGCTAGCCTCAAAAAAGGAGTTCTTCAGAAACCAGCTGCTTTAACCCTGTAGTGCCTTCCATGCCAAGAATTTAAGACGTCAGGATCTACGTCTACGTGAAAACCGAGACTGGTCGAAGCAACTCATGCCAAACAATTCTGTGAACACTTGAATTCTTCCTTTGCTCGCCCAGCTCAAAAAAAAGGAGGTGCCCATTGTCTGGCCCTTATGCACGGATGCAAATTCACAGTTCAGGGCACTCTTTACCCCGCTGTAAGGCCTTTCACACCACTCTGGGTGCTGCGGCTAGAGATTTTGTGCAAAAGCAATTAACTCAACTCCCCAAGAGGAAGAGGCTCTAGAGCCGCTTGGGTTGTTCTCAACCACCATCGGCCCAATGAAGCTATCCATAAAAGTCCGAAGGTGGTTGTGACAACCCGCTATATGACTTGGAGGTGTCTGAAATTTCCAAAATAGCTGAATAGCTGAACTGAGCAGGTCAAATGGAACGGGGCTTTGGTACCACCCGCGCTCTGCTCAGCTCGAGTCCTCAGCGACGAACACTGCGAGGCACTGGGTGAGTCTTAAAGCTTTGAAGCCACATCCGTGCGACGAAGGTGGGGGTCACTATGACCCACTCCAAAAGGAAAGAGAACTGTGAGGCCTTTAACTCACCCTAGCAATCTGAAATTGCACGTTTGCACCCCAACAAGATACACCCGGCTTTAGCACTTTGGAGATCAAATCTATTTTTTGCAGTCCACTGCCACCTGTTTGAATCAGAACCACTCACCCAAAGTTATTTCAGAGTAAAGTATCAAAATAATGTGTGTGTTTCGACTCCCATACTGGGCTTCAAACATGTGACTGTATCATACTGTATCATGCTATGGTTTAAAACGTTTGCGCACATGATAATTCTGTAGACGCACTAGCAAGAGCGTCTGCCAGCGCGCCGTTTTCACCTAAGGCGCAGCACGAAATGGCTTCAGGCCTTGATCCAAGCGAACATGAACAACCATGTTCCTCCGCCTGCCCAACACCGAAGAGCAAACTCAACTTTCACAGTTCATCCCCTTCTCTTGTGGCATTTGAGGGGTTGGGCAACGGCTGAACACGGTCACGAGCAAAGCAACAGGCTCCTCAAGCATCGATCGAGGATTCTGGAGCTCTCGCATGTCGACAGAGTCTTCCAACTGTCGCCAAATCACACTATGTTCGCTGCCAAAGCGGGCAAAAGTGGAACGAAACGCATGTGTCGTTCTTGAACAGCGTGGCTCTGGGGTCCTGTACGAACGAGCCTGACGGCACACGTTGACGGCCAAATCTTCATTCAAAACATGCCAACCTGAGCTCTGTGAGAGCTTCATCACATGGCCAAACAACGGGGAGGAGCTTTCAAAAGGGACTCCCATGTCACTTCTCACCACCCTTCCGGTCTGTTGTGAGTTAGCCATGGGCTTCTTACTTTTGGACGTCTGTTTGACGTACTGGGAGGAAAACTGTACACACCACTTGCAATCTCTCAGGATCTTATGAAGGTGCTGAGGGTCAAGCTCCTTAGTGCCGCAGTCTACGATCATGTTCTCTGTTGCTGTCCAACGCATGCTCGTGTTGCATCGAGCCAGCATTGAACGAATCCAGCTTATGGTGAAAGCTAAACTCTTTTGGCTGCCATAGCTCGGCGTTTCTGAGCAGGATTTGTCGAATGCATCCTTGGCGTCAGTGACAAGGTAGCAGGCCGTCGGGCCTTTGGGATCTTCCGCTCGTCGCAAATTGAGCATTTGAGGTGACGAGCAGCATGGATGATGTCCGGAGGGGCACCAGTGATAGCCAGTGCTCTGGCTAGGCGACGGCCAGATCGGTGGCCCGTGTTTTCATGTAGGCGTCGAAGAGCTTGCTTCACAGCAGCTGACACCTTGGGTCCAGTGACAGCTTCAGTGGACTCCTGATCAGAGTCACTCAGGTTCATGTCAATCGGCAGGGCGGTCTCATCTTCAGCCTCCTCACCGTCTTCGATGGCAAGGATGTTGTGTGGTCTTTTGAAGTCAGCTTCAAACTGCTTTTCCATGCCAACCACCAGGGCCTTTGCGAGGGCCCACGGATAGTGGCCAGCGGGCTCTGAAACAGCTTTTCCCCCAATGACATGACCATGAGGGTGATTGCCAAGACGTTTCATGCCGTCCAGTTGGGAAAGGACCTCATCACTCGAAGTGGCTATCCTCGTAGCTTTCCGAAGTAGGTCACCCGCCTGGTTCTTCAAGTGGAATCGGCATTGGTGGAAGACTACACAACGGGCCTCAAGTTGCTCCAAGGCTCTTTGCATCTCTTCCAGGGTCCATGCTCTAGAGGATTGAGGGTTCTCCAAAACAAAGTGACAACCACGACTCTTTTGGTCCTTGGCCAATTGGAGGGCGAACTGCAAGAGGGTGATCGCTTCCTCATACATCTTGGTGCCATTCTTCGGAGGGTTGAGGTTGAGTAACACACTCCAAAAGGAACAAGGAAATGCCAGCACCAAAAAGAAAGGACTTTCACGCTTCAGGACGGCTCTGGCAGCTGTGCGATCCAGTGGACGGAGAAAGTTCCATCCTGATTCCAAGCTCATTGAGGCTCCCACTCGATGTCCTCGTTTGCGAGCCGTCTGCGCAACTCGCTCTGTGTTTGTGTAGACCTCAGTGACAAAGGTCTTGGGGAAGCGGTCATTCTCAACAAGGTCGGGGTTCTTTGAAATCAACCTATTCTCAGACATGGCATGGGACTGAAAAGACTTCTCATCGCCAACGGTGAGGGTGGTGACAAAGATCTCGTTCTGGAAGTGGTCCATCGCTCGATGCCACTGCTCCTCATAGACTTCATTCACTTCCTTGGCACTGAGCGACACAAGGTGACGGTCTCTTTCATGACGCTCCCAAGCATCCGAAATCATTTTAGCCTGACCAGGTTTCACCGCCTGATGTATCCTCCAAGGATTCGTCTCCAGCTCGAGCATCGGTCTCACTGGTCGCGAGGAGGAATTCCATTGGCCTGGCGCCACTCCAAGTCGTCCTGGTAGTAGTCGCGGTTCATCTGTTGAATCTCGTCTTGGGTCCAGCCGAAGTCCATGGTTGCTTCGGTTTCCATCGGACCGGAAGTCATAGGTCCTGGCAGGTGCGATGCTTGGTGCAGGGTCGAAATGCTCTGGAGCACTTGGTTCAGCATCCCTTGGAACTTGTGGTCCTGCATGGTGAGGACTTCCTGTAGCTCTTGAGCGGTCACTCCAGGAGATGCCTTGGCCTTTGCGCCAATTGTCTCGGGCGCTTGAGAAGGTCTCGCCATTGACGTCTCGGGGACATGTCTTTCCGTTGAACTGGTAGATCCACTTGCCTTCGAGGGAGTTGGCTTTTGAGCGATCTCGGCAACCAAGGGGCGGCAAGCTTTCTTGAGATCTTCCACAGTCATTCCAGTCTGGACGGGGATGTTCAGGAGTGAAGCCAGTTTCACCAGGTCTGCCTTCAACGTTGGCAGGCCTCCCTTTGGGCCGATGAGGGAGCGCACCATGTCGTGCTTCTCTCCACGCTTGGTAGCGGCCTCGGCTTCGAGTTGGGCTTCCTGAATGGCATCCCGCTTCAATTGGGCCGTCAGGCCTTTGCTGGCGCGTGCCGCAAGCATTCCTTGCAACATGTTGTCCTCCATGAAGGCGAAGTTGAGGCCAGCACGGTTCCTGAATTGTCCCAAGTCCAGGAGGTTCTTGGTCGTGTACACTGACGGTTCTTGGGTTCGAGCTCGCTGCCAGTGCTTGACCATCAATGCCTTTGGCTTCTGGAGGGTCATAGATTCGGCTTGTTCTTGCCAATGTCTGGTATGGCTGATGCTGGGGTACGGAAAGGGCGCGTACCGCAGCTGCGGACGAGGCAACAGCCATAAGAGCAAGCCATGTGCGTGCCAAGCGGCCTTTACGCGAAGGCGGAGAAGCATTCGCCGCCAGCGCAGCACCACCTTCGTGTAGTCGTCCTCGGTCAGGTCGAAGTGCTGGGCCGCTTCCATTACGATCCACAGATCCTGCGAGGTCTCGAAAGGTCGTCGAAGAGGATGTCGTCGGGGCTGAAGGACGTGTTTGAGCCACCTTCATAGCTTGAGCCCCGGCCGATGTCGCAGCAAGGATCGCATGCTCTGTCACAAGGTGCTCATGCGGTGCTTCGGAGGTTGACTCAAAAGGCACTTCAAAATGACTCATCTTCAATTGCAACTGTTTCTTCCAAAAATCAAAACTGTTCAACTGAAGTTCAACTATGCCGTCTTGTCCAAGTTTCCGCCAGCGTTGGGAGTCCGGACGAGGCCATTGGCGTGGCTGGAGTGGAAGGGCGAAGTGGCCTGCGGCCAGCTGACCCAACTCCAAAAGTTCGCCACCCACCAAGTCAGCTCTCAGTAGCTTGCGGCCGAACGAAAGGACCGCACCGATAGCGCTCAAAAAGTCTCTTCCCAAAAGGAGTCCCAACGATGGCACTGGCACTATTGACACCCACACCAAAACCAAAGTCGAACCCAGGGCCATAGGGAGTCTGTACCTCACGGTGCTTCTTTGGGTACCACCATTTCCAAACCTGAACAACTCATTCTCGGGGGTGGTGATGATGAGGTTCTGGATATAGGAAGGAGCACGTTCGAGGGCTTGGAGGTAGAAGGCCAACCATGAGGAACCTGCACATGTTCTATTGCAAGCACTATCCAAAGCTCCAACGAATCTTTTGTCTTGTGCGAGACGTGGAGTGTTCTTGGGGTCGGTATGGTGCTGCATGAGGACTTCGAACAATGGGCGATCCCATGAATCGCCGGCGGCCACTGTCATGACCTCGTGGCCCATGTCATCAGGTTCTTCAGGAGCCACACGTTCAGTGTTCAGGGTCTCGGTGACACGGACCTGCTTCGTCATCTGGCTCTTAGGCTTTGCTTTGGGTCGAGCCAGGCCAGCACCAGGGGCCTTGCAGCCTGCATCACCAGCCCAGTGTCCCATCTCACCACAATCGAAGCACTTTGTAGTGCTCTTTTGGCGAGGGACTTGATTGCCATGGGGCTTCGTCGAACGAGGAGCCGGTTGGCCAGGCTTTCCATATCCACGGTCTTTCTTGACCTCAGCTATTTTGGTGCGTGCTTCACGCATTGTCAACAGACTCTCTGCGGCCTGTTCCATGCCGCTCTCCAAATCTTCAAGCACTCGAGGGTCGCAACCTTCAGTCTCGAGCTCCTGCAGCTCTTGGGCAAGAAGCTCAGCTTCGGTCTGGAGGACTTCTTCGATCGTCAGGTTCTCAGGAGAGTAACCCTGACCATCATCGTCTGGAATCAGCTCTTCATCTTCCGCCTCCATCTGGCCTTCCTCTTCAGGGGCCTCGGCAATCAAGGCTTGTCGAGGTTGAGGCTGCTGGCCAAAACGCTTGAAAGGTGGCCGGCTGGAACCAGAGCTCTGAGTCCGGAAGGAGCGAGAAGAGGGAGCCGTCGAGCTGGCTGTAGTCGAAGGCCTGTAGGACGAAGAGGAGCTGTGTCTGTCATGAGACTGTAGGAAACGCTGGAGTAGTGGTGCCTTGTCAAAAGGTCGGCTTTTGTTCAAAGGGTCGGAGGAGTGCAAATCTCGAAACAGACGAAGGCATTCTGATTCGACCACATCATAGTTCTCCCGACCTGCCAATGCTGTCTCCAGCAACTGCTTCCTGATTGCATCCAGTCCCAAACGTTCTTTCAACATCCAGCCTAACTCCTCCTCCGGCATCACTATGCCTTCCCGCTTGAGCTCAGCTGCAAGGGTCCGGAATCTCGTGCAAAATGCTGAGATTCTCTCTCCAGGGCTGCGTTTGATTTCTTGATAGTAAAGGGATCGGAGTTCTCCCTTTCTATCCAAAGCTGTCTTCCCAACCGTGGCCTCCAAGGCAGTCATGAGTTTCTTGATGCCTGCAAAAGGGTCTGCAGCAACCCGAATCACCTTGTCGCCGGTGTCAGGATCGGTCATGGCTTCTTCCTTGGTCCCTTCAAGATCCTGGGGATCGAATTCTTCACAACGAGCCCTGACCACACCATATTGTCTAAGTGCCCATCGGGCGGCAACATTGAACTTCTTGCAGGATTCTTCATCCAGCGAAGCCATCCACCAGTTCATCTCCCGGCGGAACTGTCGCCATTCCGCCGGGTTGCCCGACCACGTCGGCACCCGGTACCAAGAGCTGGTGCCGGATTCTTCGGCTGAAGTCATCTTCACGGCCAAAATGGCCAAAAACAAAAGTGAGGCTGCTGCAAGGTGTTCAAGGAGCTCCGCAAGTTCTGAAGCTCTCCAAAGAAAAGGTGGTCTTAGACCGAAAGTGAAGTTGCGCAACGATGGTAGGGCCCAAAGCAAAAGGTGGGTCTATGTACCCTCAAAGGTCACTCCAACAAGGCACTGCTCGGCGGCAAGGGCACAGTGAAGTGGTTCAAGAAAAAGGTGTCCACAAACAAGAGAATCTAGTTATTCTCAAAAGGTTGGCACCGACCACGAAGTCCAGAGCGTCTGGCTCGAGGTCGTGTGGAGCAGCCCAGAAGCTTAGCTTGAAGGCCACGAAGACGAGGAGAAAAGAGGCAAAAGCGAGGCGAAGCAAAGCAAGCAACGGCGGAGTGCAATGCCCAGATCGAGATAGGCTCCGGTGCCACTGTAGACGCACTAGCAAGAGCGTCTGCCAGCGCGCCGTTTTCACCTAAGGCGCAGCACGAAATGGCTTCAGGCCTTGATCCAAGCGAACATGAACAACCATGTTCCTCCGCCTGCCCAACACCGAAGAGCAAACTCAACTTTCACAAATTAAGAACTAGGTGCAAAAAAGATGTGCCATCTGGGCCATCTCTAGAATTATTTCAATGATTTCAATAAAGGATATGGCCATGGCTTTGAATTCGGCGCAGTGTGTGTTGCTTGATAATTCCTCTACCATTTTAGGGATACTGCATCATTCTACAAATAATCACGGATTTTGAGGCTGTTTCACTGTTGGGCAGCTCAACTCCCCAAGAGTTCTTTCCCAGAAAGCTTCAACCAGTAAGATTTCAGGCAAGGCGCCATCTCATCTTCCCATTCTATCTTGTGTATCTATAGCATTGGAAGCCAGAGACTTCAACACTGTGCCCAATCCCCTCGGGCCGCGTCCACACTTCACATCTGCCGGTGCTAAATTCGATTCCTTTGCACATCGCTTCTTCGGCGCAGTGCGCGAAACCTTCACTGCATGGAAAGCAGCAATTTCTTGTGACAAGAATTCTCACAAAAGGATACAAAAAGTAAAGTAAAGCTGTCGTTAAAAGTTACATATATTATAAAGCCTGCAAAGCTGTGGAAGGCCTGACAACCTGTCTAACAAGATCCTTTGACCATGTGGACCATCTCCCTTGCTCCGTCATCTATCCTTAGAATTATGCGTGCCAAAGGACATTCTTTCAAGGTCTGAGTACCATGAAAAATTCGAAAGTGCCTCTGGAGATTGTCCTTTTTGGAACCTCCACGACAGGCTCTGTCTCGCCCTCCATCCACCGGCTCAAAGCCCGGAGGAACCAAATAGCGATGGCATTGGTAGCTTTCGTGAGGTTCGGACGCTTGGATACCGCCTGCAAGAGTTGTGACATGATCTGCACAGAGATACTGGATAATGTGTCAACCAAAAGCTGTTTTAAAAAGATGAAAAAAAAGGGAAACAACACACAAACTGACCCAGGAAGATCCATTACACATCCTTTTTGGAATTCAAAACCACCGGTTCATGCACGAGCCGCTCACAGTCACAGTGGAAAAGACCAGAGGATGGTTTTCTTGATCTTGATATTGTCTTGACTCTTTATGGATGTTATGTTATCTTTTCCTGGGTGTTGATTGGTTTGCTTGATTCTTTTCCAATGGTGCCCTGCATATTAGTTTGTGTTGTATGTGTTTGGTAGTATGTCAGATCATTGAATCAGATTCTTGTTGTTAGCTCTTATGTATTTGTAGTTTGCAAGATACTCAGCATTCTTCTGTTGTAGAGTGTACGAATTGGCGACATTCAGTCCACAACATGGTTGCTGAATGCCAACAGTGATGGAAGATCCATATGCCGATCTCAAGATGCCAAACTTGGTTTCCATGCTTTCCCTGCTGCCTAACAAAAGCTAGAAGGTTTTGTTCTTCGATGTGGTCCTGTTGATGAACTCGTGAACTGGTATAAGGCGTGCATGTGTAAGGCAGTGCACGATCAATCTTTTGGTCCAAAAGGAGCGAGTGTTCCTGTCGGACACAACTTGAGAGGACTCCTGAAAGGACAAATGTTTGGCATCACTTAAAACATCTTAAACCAATTATCACACTTCAAATGCCAAATTCATCATACGTAGTCAATGGGATTTGTGTCCAACACTGTGACTCTGATGACAAAGCCGTTAATATTCATATGTTGAATTATGTTGTTTATCTCTTCGACTTCGCGCATTCCACCTGCCACCAGTACATCGCCCGCGTCATTTCGGAAGGTCGCCCACCTCACCCCGAGGTCCCGCACCTGGCCGCGTCCAGATTTCGCAGCGTCCTGAAGGATGATACTCGATGCCCCGACAGGCACCATGCATCTCACATTTGCTCGCGCAATCCTGAAGGTCTTGGGCATTTGCAACGTCGAAGTAGGCTTTCAGATTGTCTGAGGATGCCTTTCCACGACATGCTTGGTCTTTACCTCCATTCACAGGCTCAAAGTTAATCAGTTCCACCGGCGCGACCTCCATCGCCTCCCGGTAGCGATAACACTGATATCCTTGATGCGGCACACTGGCTTGAATACCTCCAGGCCGTGTCCAAACCTCACAGCGACCGTGGCTGTGAAACTCGATCCCTTGGCAAAACCTGCTCACCGTGCAGTAGTGTGCACAGTCCTGAGGATGAGGTCTCAAACACGAGCTTAACAACACTCTAGACTCAAACAATGCCAACACTTGACCTTGGCTTTAACCAACCTCTGTCCGAGCTCTCCTCCAAAGTTCGAATGGGGTAGAAGACTTTGTAGTAGTAGCGGCTGTCATCATATGGGTTAGCTCCACGACAAACTCTATTCCAGCCGCCATCAACTGCCTCAAATTTGGATAGGATTGAGGTCCTCGGGACTCAGGCCAGGACAATTGGTCAACAGCGTCAGAAAGGAGGCAGGTCTTGGGATGTCTGTTAAGGACAAAAAAAAAGTAAAATCTGAAAAGGTGTTTGCAAACTTGATCAAATGTCGAGCTGGTGGTCGTGCTTGTGGTGGTTGCTGAAGAAGACATTGTGCTCGTGGTGGTCGTCATTTCAGTGGTGGTGGTAGCAGTGGTCGTCAGTGTGGTGGTAGTTGTTGTGGGTGTGGTCGTCGTTGTGGTCGTGGTCGTCGTTGTGGTCGTGGTCGTCGTTGTGGTCGTGGTTGTCGTTGTGGTCGTGGTTGTCGTTGTGGTTGTGGTCGTAGAGGTGGTTGTGGTCGTAGAGGTGGTGGTGGTCGTAGAGGTGGTTGTGGTGGTCGTTGGCAAAGCCGCACAATATCCCCAATTTCGTCCTTGACAAGTCTTATCCTTCACGAAGCACCAGGGCCCCCCGTGGATCATTGTCTGGGTTGCCTGAGCGAGACTGCTGTCTGTTCTATGTGAGATTGATGTCTTACAAGTTGATTTTGACTCTCTCAAATACAAGTAGATCAAGTAGCTTGCCATGCGCACAGTGCACAATACATCCCGTAAAAAGCACTGCTCAAGGCGACTCTTGTGAAAGTGCCTTCTGCTTGTCTCCTACTTGACTCTGAGAATCTACAGTATGAGAATTGACTCCACTAGGGTGTATCTCTGAATCAGGAACCTGAGCCATTGGACATGCTTATACTAAAATCTGGTGCGGCGGGGCCTCTCGGACGGACTACATCGGACTACCACATTGTTGAACTTGTTGAAACCCATGTTGAAGCTGCGGTCAAAGTCTTCACAGTCCAAACACCTTGCGGTCTGAGCTGCAACAGTAGTTCTCGCAGGGCTTCGGCGACCCCCAAAGGCTCCAAAACTTCATGCATTCGCAGCCGACAGTGGTCACCCTGCGATCCACGACAAAGTTGGATTTGGGATGGTTGGTCTGCGGAACGCAAGGGGATTCTCTGATGCAACGGGCAAACTATGGCAAGGTCATTATTCGATGTCCCTTCGAGGTTTCGCTTTTTCCTTCTGTTGGGTTTGTGTGTCGACCTTTTCTAAAAACCAGCAACCTCTCTCTCCGAATCTCCTGCTTTTGTTCACACCAAAAAAAGCAGAACAAAATCATTCCGCACGCCGATCGCCTGTATGGGGTTTGTATAGTAGTGGTGCTGGTCGTGGAGATAGGCCCACTTGTTGTTGTTGAGATGGGGTCATCCAACTCCTGAAACCTGGCAGCTGCTAAAGCCAGCTTGCTTCTCACTTGACAAAAAGGACGCACCGGGAACTGCGCTTAGCACGTCCGAAGCTCAACCACTCTTGGAATGGACAAGTGACTTTCCAGAGCATCGATTCACAGCCTTGGCCCAAAATCAAATGCTTTCTTGAAATTCTCAGGCAAAAAGCATGTGCAAATATGTGCAAACGAGTAACAGAATTCATCTGCTGGCACATCTCTTGCCTCCTGTATCTGGTGTTGAACTGATAAACGCCACCCAATTTGCCATCTCCATAGTCCATGATACCTGCGCTCGAGCACGTCGCTTCTCCCGGGTCAACATGTGAGTCCCACTCAATTGTGTCCCAATCTCTAGAACAAGGGAGCTCAGTGTCCCGGAACTGCCGCTTCAAGCAATTCATTTCCAGACTGGTTTCAAAAGGTGAATACACAAATCCTCATAACTCATTCATCCTTTGCAGCTTAGCTTAACCATTTTCTCAGTTTGCTCCATGCCTCCCGTCTTTCCTTTGCCATTTTCGAAGGAGTGGGCACCTCGCCAGTACTACGGCCCCCAGCAATGGATGATAATGGATGTCTTTTGCACAGCGAGCTACCCTTTGCACATTCTTTGCACGCAAATGACTGTTGAGCCATCGCTATTTCAGTAGGTTGGAGGCCATCGCTCTTAGGGGGAGGCCATCGCTACCGGATTCCTTTTGCTATTCAGGTTGGAGGCCAATTGCTATTAGGTTGGAAGCACTACTGTAATGTTAAGGAAGGTAGACCAAGACCTGAACAGGTCCTCATGAGTCTCATGAGTAGTGTGATGTGCACTACGTGCATTTGCAGACATTCTTTCACGCTTTGACCCATTTCATCTTGTTGTTGACGAAAGTGACTGTATAAGGCATCTCTGTAATTTATGTTATTTTACATCAATGTATATCTCTATTCAGTCTAGTCTCCAGTTGTAAGCATTCTGCAAGTGGGTTCTTGATAAACCATCATCAACACCAATTGCATACATGCAAACGTTCAACATCAGTCACTCAGTTGTGCCATCCACACCAGGTGCGTGGTCAATACTTCTGCTTCTGCTTCCAGTTGACATGTGATCTCTTACAAGTGAACGTGTAGTGCAACTTGCGGTCTCAGTCCCGCCTCCAAAATTGTGGCCCAACTCGTGTGCAAAAACAAGCCAAGCCTTTTCCACCTGTTTGGAGAACTCTGTCACTCCTGCCAAATAGAAGGCACTTAGAAGGCATTTATTGCGCTATCTGCTACTTCCACACTACTTTTTGCCCAGTCCACGTAAAGTAAATCAGCGCAAGAAGAATCTTTCTGCTGGGTCGATCCTGTGTTGAATCCCCGTGTGTTGCACATGCCACCCCGCCAAGCGATACCCACGGTGCCATAGCCATTGCCGCAGCCAGTGAAAAGCTCCAGTACTCCTGAGTTGGCATTGCCGCATTCAGGAGTTGGCACAAGCACAAGAGTAGATAGGAAATAAAAGGTATTTGTGAAGATCTGGCAGCTGCGAACGAAGTCAGCGACCAAGTGGAAAAAGGAAGTCGATCGTATCGAACAAGAACGAAACGCGTTTTGGACACTCGAGCCCACCCTCTGCGAGCGGTGATTGCTTTTGTTTCAAAGAAGTGTGACACACAGGGTGTGTCTTCACACGGAGGGAGAGGAGCTTGGCGCAAGCATGTTGCGTGCGTCCGACAACCACTGCTGGATGTCATCATTGATGCACCAGCCACCAGGGAAAAAATGGCCGTGCGGTGGCGGATTGCATCCTGCGCGGTAGGCGCAGCCCCGCACGACCACCAGGTTGCGCTCGGCGATCTGCGGTGTGATGTGGCAGGAAAAGCGGTGGACACGTCAGCTGTCCATGTAGACCAGTGCATGTTTGCAGCCAAGGCAAGGAGAGAACGAAGCTTCGGCTCAGTCTGGTGGTCGTCGGACTGGAAGTGGCATCAGGGTCGTTGTACTGCCCTCTGGGTGTTTGGACCACTTGAGTGTATCATCCGTGAGGTCAGTGCGCGAGTCTCGTCTGCATCATCTTTGTGTTGGAACTCCCAGACTCCATGATCGAAGAACGACTTGAGTTCTTTAACCTTGGCTTCCTTGAAGAGCGCGCGCTCATCAGGGCCCAAGGTCAGTCTTGTCTTGAACTTCTTCGCTTTGGCCAACTTCTGGCTTTTCGCTTCTTGCTTGGCACTGGTGAAGACCTGGCGCTGACCGGTGTACATGGCCAGTTCCTTTCTGGTCTCGCCGTTCAGCTGGAAAATGGCGCAACCGGTCCAGGCCTGAGTTGAGCCAGGTGGGCTGCTGGCGTCAGCGCCGTCATCTGCGAAGAGCCTGCTGATGAACCGTGGTGACTTTGACTCTGTCTAAGGCTTCGGAGGGGAGGGGACAGCCCTTCGGCAGGGCTTCTAGGCGCATTCGTCCACGTCAAGGGCCAAGATGATGTCTCACGAGTAATCGGACACCCGATCTGTGAGGCCCAAATATAGCCTTCCTCGTCAACGTACCAGCCTTCTGGAAGCTGGGGTGCGTCAATGTCTTGATCAACGGCCAGGTTGCCATTTGGCCTGTTTTCAGGGTTGGGATTTGGCTCTGCTGGGCTGGGTAAGGTTCCGCGGGCCTCTGCGATTCCGCCAGAATGCCAAGCTGATGGTCTCTTGCCTGTTCATTCGAAGGCGCTGCTGCTGGATGTTTCTGGACCTTGTGGTTCATAGAGCGCTGCTGTGGCCGGATCCAAAGCTGGTCTTTGGAGTAGGCGTATAGGCGTTGGTCTTGCAGACGGTACAGGTGTCTCCTCGCTTGGTTCAGCCAGTGATGCGCCACTGCCAACTGGAATGTCGGCTGCATCTGAGCTGGAGCACCCTCTGGCTCGGTTTGCTCATAGTCGCATTCTGATGGTGGGACTGGGATGGCATCCGGCGCCTCTCGTGCCTGTGGCTCTGATGCCATGGCTGGTGGAGAGTCCACAGTCTTGGCCTGCGGCGTGGCGGCGCCATTTCATACTCAGTCGGTCTCTAGGGCTTTGTCTCCAGGGAGAATTGACGAGGTCTGCGCAATGACAGAAGTCCTGGCCCTACCGCAGTAGACTTCCCACAAGACTCTTGGTCGCGCCGGGCAATGTATTTCATGAGTGATGTAGGCAGACAAAGTCATTGAGGTGGGTGGTCAACTGGACATCCATAGTCTTGAGATCGTGCTTCCTCAGGCAACTCAACGCAGTGGACGGGCTGTCGTGGCACTTGTTTGTCCTCATAGCTAGCGAAGCCCTTCTCTTCATCACTGCTAGGTGAAAGCCATCGGTCTGGTGGACATCGGGCACATTGGTGCGAAGTTCAAACTCCGGCTTCTGTGGGTCATACTTCATCAGGTCATGCTCCTGAGTGATGGGCCACAAATACTCACCCTGCCGTCCGAGAGTAGCAGCTTGCCAGGGACTGCTGCCGATGCGTAGCTGTCGCCGCGCGAAATCCATTGACACGCCTGGGCCTAGGGCCTCAATGATCAGCCTTCCACAGAGCATGGGAGTGTTGCCGGGCATGAGGAAGATCTCAATGGCCCTGAACTTGCCATCCACGAACACCGGAATGTGTGCACTCCAATCTGACCACTGGGAAGCATCGCCTCCAAACTGGAAGCGTCGGCGGCCCTTCGTCATCTTGATGGCGTCGATGGGATAGCCAATGTCTTTGTAGTGGTTCAGGAGCCTCTGGAACAAACGCACTGGCGCCAGGGTCCAACATCACACAATCTGGTCTCTCGCGGCCTTCGTTCTCTTGCAAAATGAGCAGGGCTGTCTCTTCAGTGTGCGCCTTCTGCGGTAGGCGCAGGTCGCTTGGCGCTTGAACGAGCAGATGGAGAGGAGCTGCCTTGTGGACAATTTGCCGCCCAATGACCTGGTTGTCCGCATCTGAGGCAGGCGAGATTGGCTTTCGCGCGTCCCTTTCGATCGAACTTGCCAGCTCCTTGTTGAGGGTACCGGATAGTAGTCTTGGACTTACCAGATTCCTCACCATAACAGTCCGCATCTTGGTCGAATTCTTCTGGGTCTTCATAGTCTTGTTCATAGGGCGGGTTCCTCAGGCCATTGTTCATCGGGTCCGAAATAGCCGTTGTCACCCCTGTAGTCATCCTCTTAATTCGAGGTCATAGTCGTCGGCCATGTATGCACGGGGATCGCCATGAGGATTGGTGAAAACTGAAAACGACTGGTTGCGCATTCCATCCACCTCCTCTGTAATCCTGACCCAGGATGAGGTACAGGTACATTGCCTCGATGACAGCTTGCTTTTCCAAGCTGGGCGCCTTCAGCGTGATCATCCGGCGCTGCTCCCTGGTGAGTGAAGCTCTTCGCAACAAATGCCATCCCTGCACTGATGATGGCAACTGCACCTTGTGTTGTTGAAGCTTCCTGTAGGCTTCTTCATGGTCGGCCACAAAAGAGCAGGAGCGTTTGACCACCTTGGCGTTGAAGCAAGTTGAAGTACTGCTCGAAGTCGGTCGGAAGCTGAACTCTGGCATCGTACACAAAGTTGGCGCCCAAGGTCTTGATGATGCGCTCGAATGCGCCGTCCTTCTCAAGTTCTTCCAAAGATCAATCCTGGAAGAGTCTCCAGGTGACTCTTGTGAGCGAGCCCACGATGTTTAGCACTGCTTCATTGCCACGCTTGGTGATCGCCATCTTGCAATGGTACAGGTGGATGCGCTGCCTCCACTCCCGGTACTCGGGCTGGCCGGAAAGCACTGGCGCATACCATTCACGCAAGTCCATGTGCTGGTGCCATCTGTGGTCTCAGAGCCGGACGCCTGCGCCGTCGTCTTCTTCGGCTTGGTGGAAATGGCTTTGTAGAGCTTGTGGCTGCTGAATGTCTTGTTGGTTGGCAAGGGTGTTGTGATAGCCGTGGATGAAGACCAAGCAAAAACAAAGGCAGGCTCATATCGGACCTCTTCGACGTCGTCGCGGAGTACGTGTCAGGGAGCCCAGTCGCCCGGGCTCCGAAGTGGAAAAAAGGAAGTTGATCGTGATCGAACAAGGACGAAACGTGTCGTTGCACCGCGCGGCCGTTTTGGACACTCGAGCCCGTCTGCGAGCGGTGTTTGCGTTTGTTTCAAAGTGACACACAGCGTGTGTCTTCACAGTATTAGATTTAGATTATACAACGGTGGTCGGACATTTTTCTTTGTAGCTCACCCGGCCAGCTCGCCTGGTCTCTGATTCAGCCAAGCATCCTGTGAAGGGATGGGCCCTGGCATCGCCTTTCAACTGATCAAGCCTTGGTCAGGTGGTGAACCGCCACGCTTCCGGAGCACCGCCGGAGAAAGGTCCGGGGAAACAAGGATAAATATGTAGGGTTATATGCGTTAGGTGTTCGTACTTGGTGCGCTTTGGCTCATGATTCGGATAAACTTCATCTGACTCATTGGATCGGCTAGTTTGAGAAGCTACTCATAACAAAGGGCATCGCTACTAGGAACAAGTGCATCGCTATTAGTAGCTAATTTGCTACTAGTAACAAGAAACTACCAGTAGCGATGCACTTGGCAATGCAAAATTGCGTCGCAATGCTTCGCCGAGCAACAATGTCTCCTTGTCGCTGCAAGAGCCCGCAAACTGCGGGGCTCCAACCGGGCTGGTGTAGAGCTTCATCTTGGAAGCTGAAGCAGCTAAAACTCGAAAATGGAAATACAAGTCTGGTCTTCAGCCAAGACCATCAGAACCACGGATATCGATAGTCTATCAGTCTATCCACAAAACACCAGCACGTTGATCAACTACTATCAATGGCAAAACAAATCCCGGACATGTGTCCTGTAGACATCTGGGTAGAGGTACAGATCAAGAGCTGAACATGATTCCATGTTCATCAATGTTTCATATGGTTTCTTATGTTTCCTTCATTTGGCTTTACATGGTGCAACATGCGAGTCATGAACCAATGAGAAAATGAGATCGTGACGTAACCAATCTTCAGCACAATGTTGAGCCTCATTTCGCAAGTCAAGTTACGACGTCCAAGTCACGACGCAAAACCACGCGCGCTTTCCAAGGGATGTGAGATGATCTCAGACACGGGCTGCTTCTCGTAGACAAAGGAGGCTTCTGCCACCACCTGTGTCCAAAGAAAACACCGAGGGCAATCAGTCTGCAAGCTTCACAAATGAGCGTGCCTTCTCTATGTTCGACTGCAATCCATTGCCATGTCTTTCATACGCCTTCAGATCCTCGGCAGTGTTCATCATTCTTGTTGTAACAATTGAACTCAGCTGACATCTCTGTCAGACTCCTGCACCACTGCCAAAGGACCTGTAAAGCAGCAACTGTCCAAAGACCCCAATGGTCATCCGAGCTTCGGCCACAGTGCCAAGGACAAATTCATGCATTTTCTGGTCTCCTGCATCTGACTCGATACACTCATGCCAGAATTTGCAGGAATGATGTCACAAGGCTTTTACTGTCTGGGTGTGTCTGCAAGTGTCACCGCTTCGCACAAAAGGAACAAAGATGGAACACTGAAAAGCATCTGAAGACATCTGGAGACTGGAGCAGCAGCTCCCATCCTGTAAAGCAGCCTGCCAGGCTTCACGGCTCATAGCTGGACAATGCTGCACATGACTGATAGAAGGCATTGATGCTTCGCAGTTCACTGGAGACAAGACACTGGTTTGCCATGTGTTCAAGACACGGCACAAGTCAGGCACAAGCTGAGCAAAGTCCTTTTGGTGTTCCGCCTGGAAACCACGGATATCCACCCCAATTCTCTGGGTCCACCGATGCCATGCTTTCCTCGACAGGGAAGCCCGTCTCCTCCTGATTTCAGGGAAGCCCGTTTTCGCCAGCTCTTCGGTGAGTTGCGATGGCGGCGATGGCCTCCCTACTAGCGATGGCCTCAACTCATCCCCTGACGTTGTTACAAAAATGTTACATAGTTCTGCAACGACGGCCATTCTGCATCCAAAGGTCCGGAATGATCCACCCGCTGTCGCTGACCTGCACAATACCATCGCGTCATCGCTACAGCAGTTGCTTAACAAAGGGCGGCTTGCACAAAAGAACACTAGTAAGTAGTTTCTTGTTACTAGTAGTAATGGCCTCCAACCTACTAGCGTTTTCCTCCAACAAAACAGCGTTCTCTGCAGGTGGCCTGTTCGAATCCGTCCGGATCTTCTTGTGGGGCCTGACCATTTCGGTCGTGGCTTCTCATTTCGTTTCCACCGGTCGCTGGTATGAGTACCTTTTGTGATTAAGCGCAAAGCGCAGCAAGATGTACATTTGTATGTGTTGCAAGATGTACATGTTTAGCTGTGGCATTGTAAAAAGTCTTGCAGCCCGTGAATCCAGACATCTCCAAAGGAGCAGTTTGCTTTTCGATTCCCCTTGGTCTTGCCCAACTTAGTTTCCAGAAAAATCAAATGTCTCACACTTGTGAGGAGCCCTCATTTCCCACAAGAGTTCAATCCTAGCACCCACCCAATGTAGAGATCATGTTCACTGGCTGGGGTATGCTTGGATGGCATGTGAACATGTCTGAGCTGCAAGAAGCGTTGATAGACAAACTCTTGAAGTGATACGTCACACATCCAACTGCTGCATGTGGTGTACTCCATGCTCTACGAATACATTTTAAAGGGGTTGTGCACTATGGGCGTTGGTGCAGAATGTCCTGTAACGTGTCTAGCTCTTTGTCAGGATTGAATACTAAGCACAACACACACACACACACACCATTGAAGGGTGACTTGTTTGTTACGATATCATCCTTCATAGAATCAACGTGACTCAACTCATCTCGCCCGATTGCTATGCACAAAAAGCGGGCCCTTCACGCGGACTCTCAAACCCGCCTCGCTGGCCCTGATCGTGAGGAGCTGGAGCTGGTGCGCTCCTCAACGTGGGAGTCACCGCGGGCGGGGCCAAAACACCAACATCTTCTGTCCAAGATGAGGATGGCAGGTGAACATCGCTCCTTCTCCCAAGCCCCCGATCATTGCTGGTCACTTGATTTGAGAACCTCTGGGAGTAGAACCCGCTACACTCACACAGGAGGCTAACCCATATGACCACTTTCAGGGTATCAGCTCCAAGACTCCAAAAACTTTGTCCCCCAGGCCCACTAGGCCCACCCCAAAGCGTTTGGGCTACTTTCCTTTGGGTTTGGGGTGTGATTCACACTAGGGACCCAGCCTTTATATTCTTACAGTAAGGAATATCGCTGGGGCCCTCATGTTGAAACCATCACAGTGCAGCTCAACTCAGATAAGTCTCGTTTATGCTCAGCTAATTCTATCCTCATGATGCGACCTGCCATGGTGTGCAGGAAACGGTCGGAAGGAAGGTCAAACTTCAATCTTGTCTTGCCAAGATTCTCTGAATGTGTGCTCTGAAAGACTCTGAAAGTTGAAAAGGTGCAGAAGAAAAAATGCTTTCATATGCTTTCACTCTTCACCAGCCTCCATCTTCAAAGAGGCCAGACACGGTCCTTGGCTGCACACTATCCATGCTTGACCACCCCTTCATTCCCACCCCAAGCTGAACAGCTCTACGGTCACACCGTAGGCCAAATCAGCTTCCGCAAACTGCCTTTGCCAAGCTGCCCTTCCTGTAGCCATGCAGTGGCCCAGGCTCCAGGTGTTCGTGACCTTCAAACTTGTTCAAACACAGAATCCAACTCAATGGCAATGGCCTCCAACCTAATAGCAATGGCCTCCAATCTAAGAGCGATGGCCTTCAACCTAATAGCAACTCAATTGATCTATGGATTTGAACACAGGACAGCTTCTCTCCGCCTGAAGCTACGGGGTCGTGTCTTCAGGAGTTCTGTTCCATTCGCGGTTTGGACCAATGCCAAAGCATCTCGGCCTCAGAAAGGGTTTAGAGTTAGCCAGTTGGTGTAAATGTCCTTGATAGACCGAGCGTGAGCGGACCGTGACCCACTCTATCGGGGAATTCCACACATGTCTAATTAAGTGGCGAGACGAGAACGAGAACGAGAACATCCTCGTCCATGTTATGTCATGTCCACTGCCTGATCATCTTCGGTACTACACACATGCTTTGACAGAAGAATGCAACGATGCTGCGCTAAGAAACTGTAAACACTGAAGGCGGACAAATTGTAAACATGGTGGCGGCCACGATGCTTGAAGTGGACCTCACACAAATCAATGGTGTGATCAAAACGAGAAGTCTCCGAATTCAGTGATTGGACGTGATCGCTCACGGGCAAACAGAACTGACTCGAGCATGTCAGGCTTAGGTCAGAATCAAAGAAATCACATACAAGCATATACAAGCAGGTTATCCTCTGAAATGCTACTGCTAGAGGTACTTGCAATGTCTTGCAGATCTTGTCAGCGACTCAAATGCTGGAACCTCCACTTCTGAGGCAGCGACAAATGCTAAAGCTCCATCCTCAGACACCTCCGAGTGAACTGCCGGCAGTTCCACCTTGCATCAAATGGCCAAGACCCGTTGAGAGCGCACAAATGCACCTCCAAAGAGACGATAAGCACTTTTGAGATCCGATCTTGGCTCAAATACCTACTTTCTCACAGCAATACTCAGGGTGCAGCCCCAGATTTGCTGCCAAGAAACGGGCTCTGAGAGCACGTCTAGTGAGGAGCTTTGCAGGGAAACCTGATGTTTCTCACCAAAAATGAGTGCTTTTCTGATCGTTTCTGTGGGACAGCAGGAAAGGCAAGAAAGGCAACAAATAGGACTTATAACATTCTATAAATACTTATAATGCCTACCCAAATCAAAAACACCCAACAAACTCTGCCGAACTGAAGACCGCATATGGCCGCCCCCGCAACTTCTTGTTCCTTTCGTTGGCGCTGGTTCAAGCAAATGCAGAGGCCCACCTTCTGCACAGTTGTTGACCGTCCATGTCTTCCCAAGTGCCTCGGCAGCGAGCAGGGATGCTTCACATGATTTGAGCATGTCTAGCTTATGGGACTGAGATCTAGATATGTCCATTTTGCATTCACCTCAATGTTTGATGTGAGGACTCATTTGCAAAGTGATAGCAGGGGAGTTTGGTGCTTCGCTATATAAGTTTACAGCCATGTGTCTGGTGCTGCTGCAGCAGCCTTACGCCAAGATGGCCTTTCTGGCAGCCTCCCACATTGCCTTGCCATGCTTCAAGGAGGTGGCCACTTTTCGAAAACTCAGTGTCAAGACAAAACATGGAAACAGCATGAACCAGCTTTCTTCATATAAACCTTCTGCGCGTTTCTGCGATGGCAAAGTCTGCTGTGCAAAGGCTAAGTGCATCAATGGAGTGGTATCTTTTCCAACACAAACCGCAAGCGTAGCCTCCTTTGCAGTCTGCCAGCACAACGCCCACTAAGAGGGGTAGGCCTTAGCAAAAAGATTGGAAAGTGCAGCAGGCTGCATGATGAGGTCAGCTTAAGCAAAGCATCAGTGGCAATGTCGACCCTAAAGATTTTGAGATCTGCAACAGCATCCTGCAAAGGAAGATTCAGGGATATTCAGGGTGTTTCCTCAGCACGACTCCAGTTCTGAGGGTGGGGCTGTAGACCCAGATCATTCCGGCGCAAGTTGATTTCGCTTGCACCGGGGGAAATCGGCATACTGCGTTGAGTCAAGCCGCGGAGATGTTGAGCCAAATAGCGAGTATTCAGTTGGGGAAGTTGCTGCTGACAAAGTCAAGCTTGAGAAATTCTGCTCTCAGGAACCTATATTTTATGCTTTGCTCCTAGTAGCTTCTTGCTCCTAATAGTAAGGCCAGGAGCCCCTAGTAGCGTCCTTTGCTCCTGGTAGCGATGCCAGGAGCCCCTAGTAGCATGCTTTACACCCTGAACAAACAAACTTGAAGCACTTCACGTTGTGGTCCTTTGCAGCTTCCACCTCCCGAGCTGGAGCCTCTCGGCCTGCGAGGTCTCGGAAGACGATGCCGTGATGTGGCGACGACGTGGCGCGCCTGCGTGCGCACCGCGAACACCTCGTCTGTCTGGGTGAAGAAAGTACAAATTTGCCGCTAAGGCCTTAGAGTCACTGAAGAGTCAGAGTTCAGAGATCTGGCGGGGGTATTCAGTCTCCGTGTTCGGAGGTGAAAAAGCCGAGTCAGCACAGTGCTTGCAACCTGAGTGGGTCGTCTCAGTGGGTCTGAGCCTCACGGCTGTCAGGCCCAAGCTGACCACCTCGGCCAGAACGGGACACCCGTCGGATGGCCGACCATGCATGGCAGAGGTGCTGGCAAAAACGCTGATGGTCAGGACATATCCGCAACCTGGCGGAGGAGAGGGAAGTCATTCAACGCACTCCAGTCATGTAGAGTCCATCGAAGATAATAGGAGTCCCTAGGATTCCAACATATTCCAACCATTGTTTTTACAAAGGATTTTACAAAAGGAATTATAGAGCACCTTACATCCTGGTCGTAACTATCCCGTCCTTAGAATTTAATGGGGAGATATGCCAAAATATGCCAACACCTGGGAGGCGTGCCACAGCATTGGCGTCTGTGGCGAGCCATTGACACGCCACATGAGGCGAAAAAAGCGAAAGAAAGGTGCTCCTGTGAACCCACGCTGGCAGAAGCGCCCAAGAGAAAAGCAACAATGTGGTTTGGGGTCCAAAGTGATTGTGGGGGGGGGTGCTGGCTGAATTGCTTTCAGGAGCTCTTGCCTCCAAGTACCTTGAATCGGATTAAGACACTTAGAGGATTTCCTATCAAAGGCCTGTGGTATTCAAGAAAAATGCCAAAGCCTCAGGGTGATCCATGTACTGTGGCACACTTTGGCACATGCATGTTCAGTTGCATGGGCATGCTGCCGCATTCTCGCCTTTTTAGAGCAGGACATGCACGATCGATCGGACTCTGAGCAAGTGTCCAATCCCAAGCTGCCTGACCTGAAGGCACTGCCTTTCTCTTTACAACTTGCTTGACCTGGATGGTTACAACCGCCATTCAAACACAGAAAACCATCTCAGGTAAAATGTTGCTGAGTATCTGCAAACTATATTAGACCTTTTGACGGTCTTTTTTTCTTTGTTTCTAATAGCGATGAACTCCAACCTACTAGCGATGGCCTCCAACCTAAGAGCAAACTATATTAGACTTAGCCTATGGGCCTATGGGGTTGGAAGTGCTGGTAGTTCTAGATAGCGATGCCAAAAACCATCTTGCCAAGTGTCAATCAGTTCGAGGGAGTTTGACCGTGGAGAAGAATCAAGAATTAGGTATGATCAAATCCCATAAGAACCAAAGCTAGCGCTCCTTTTGCACGCAATCTTAAGCAAACGTGGCAACTGCCACTATGGTGCTAAACTACGTGGCGGCGGCGTATGCCGTGAGCCTTAGGATGCTTCATTGACTCAACACAGCTGCAGTGTAGCGGTAATTAGCCGTAGCCTTCTTGGTGCAGTTGAGGCTGCGGCTGAATTGCAGTTGTCTGCCTTCAGGAACTGGATACATCTCAAGTATCTGACTAAATCATGAAGTCGTGTTGTTAATGACATACCCAAAGTTTACAACAACAACAACAACAACAACAACAACAAAAACACATCCCGCGCGGTGACGGCCTCGCCTTGGGCACCGGCTGCAACAACAACTCCTCATGATTTCTCACAAAACGATGTTGGCTCTCCTGGGGCGTACGCCCTACACGACCCAAGCATGCACGGTCTCTTGTTTCAACGGAGCATCTAATCCTCGACTATGTTGCTGTGTTTCAAGATGTTTTAAGGACAGTAACTGCTTTGCTGCTTTGTGTACTCAGTTCTCTTCACAATTGCTTCATGATCAAACCCTTTCAATAGCTGTATGATACCGAGACACAAAATAGCCACCCAGCTCTTCTCGGATCTCCCCGATCTAAGCAAATCAAGAGCTTCAGAACATCCAGAATCTACATCATCTACATCGCAATCAACACCCAAGAAACCGTCTTAAAACTGTAGTTGGCTGATCACTGCTTCTACATTCAAAATGCACAAAGGAAACCTTGCAGGAACCAAGCTGCTCGAATCTTGCCCCCGCGTTCATCGTCCGGCACACGGCTCAAAGTTGACGTGATCCTTCACCATTCACCATCAACCGATAGTGACACGAGAGTCACGAGAGACAAACTAACTGCCATATCCAATCACAACAACCAAACAGCAGCAATCAGCAACAGTAGTCAACACAAAACAATTGCATCTTGGAAAAACACCAGCAATGGTTCCTTTGGAACGTCCGCCGTGCAAAGGGTCCAGGATCGTTGGCACTCTCTCGCCTGCGAAGCGCCCCACTGGTAGGGTGATGAGCATATTCCAAAAGCGGCCGTTTTCCGCCTGCGCAGCTCTGGTGCTGAGGATGAAGAAGTCATACTCTTCGGCGCTCTGCGAATACTTCCGCTGGAACTTGGAATTGGGCATGCTGCACCTCTTCAGAGCAAATTGCGTTGTGAAATAGAAGTGACATGGGGGCTTGTCACCTAAACCACTCATTTGGCAACCGTCTTGTCCTTCATGTCCACACATGGTTGCCAAATCCCCAAACACAAAAATACGCAAAGCTGACTCTCGGGGTATGTTGCCCTGTGGTTTTACTCTGACGGCCGCAACCAGCTGTGGATACTTGGCAATAAGAATCGCGCCCTTGACACCTACACACCCAGTGCTACTGAAGCGAATCTGCTCTGCGGATCTTTTTGCACCGGCGCAACTAGTACCTGCCAAGACAGGGCGGGCAAAATGAGCAGTGAGGGAAGCTCAGCTTCCTGATGGATTCTGGAAGCTGAGCTTTAAGAAAGCTGCCCTTCCCATCTCCCATGCCTTCTCATCTCAAGCTTCATTTTGGAGCGAGGCAAGCAGTGAAGAGCAAATCCGAGGAGGACACACACTGGGAAGTAGACCAAAGACGCACCTCATTGTCATGGGATGTGCACAGTATCCCAATGCTTTCTGTGCAGAATCGGTATATAACGGTATAAAATAAAAATCAAGGCAAGTCACACACCATGAACATCACACCATGTGACCAATAGTGATGCTGCACCTGATCAATGGCAAGAACCATCAATCTACATCTGGAAGCTTCTGAAACTATGTGACAAGTGTGCAGTGTGCATGTAAAACATGGAGAATTCCGAAAAGGAGAACCGAAGTGGGTGGATTTCTGGGTGCCGAAGACGCCTGGCTCGGCGAAGCTGTGAGAAAGACGAAGAGGGCATCGTCAGATCCCCGCAGCCCATGTTGTGCCTCTGCAGCCTGAGGTTTCCAACAGAGGCGTGTCGCCGAAAAGAGGGTCGCTCTCAATGGCTCCTGTAGATGTTCTGTGGAGTCAAATCTAATTACTATCATGGACCAGCACTTAGAATATGAAATCTTAAAGTTTATAGGAATTAAATTTCCTAGTCAACTCAGTGGAGCCTGAGATAGAATATGGAACAGGCAGTCCAGTTAGAATATGGGAAACCACTCATGTAGAGTTCCAGGATTGAGTTGCACCCTACTCATGTACTGTAGAGTTCCCGTGTGCTGTTAGTTCTTGCTGGTTGCACTTGCGCTTGCTGCTGTTGATGTGGTGTTGTTCTTTGTATATTCTAACTGCAAGTGTATATTCTAACTGCACCTCCGCAAATAAATATATGTTTATATTCTTACTGCATTATTTTTTTTTGAATTCTAACTGCTAGTCCATAAGTGTAGGCCTTTTTTGCCTTTGTATTTTAAAGCTATCCATGGTTGCTGTTGGATGAAGGGGAAGAGAACTTCGAACAGATGTTGCACGGTCGAACTAGAGATTTCTACCTTCCTGAACTCGATCACAAGCGAGCTATCCGCACGATCATTTTGGACAGCTCGATGGCGTGGGGTAGAGCTGATCCTTTC